GGCATCCTTGTCTAGTTCCTGTTCTCAAGAGGAATGGTTTCAGTCTCCCTCCATTGAGAATAATGTTGGCTGTTGGTTTTGCATACATAGATGCCCTTTATTATGGTGAGGAATGTCCCTTCTATTCCTATTTTGCTAAGAGTTTTGATCAGGAATGGGTGTTGGATTTTATCAAATGCCTTTTCTGCGTCAATTGATATGATCATGTGGTTCTTCTTCTTTGTTTTATTTATGTGGTGGATGATATTGATTGTTTTTCTAATGTTGAACCATTCCTGCGTACCTGATATGAACCTCACTTGGTCATAATGAATGATTTTCTTGATATGTTATTTGAGTCTATTGGCTAAGATTTTGTTGAAGTTTTTTTGCATGTATATTAATGAGAGATATTGGTCTGTAGTTTTCCTTTTGAGTGATTGCCTGGTTTTGGTATCAAGGTTATGCTTGATTCCTAAAATGAGTTAGGGAGGATTCCATCCTTTTCTATGTTTTAGAATAGTTTGAGTAGGATTGGTATCAGTTTTTTTCTGAATGTTTGGTAGAATTCTCCAGTGAAACTGTCTGGGCCAGGACTATTTTTAGTTGGTAATTTTTTGATGATCTGTTCAATTTCTTCTTTTGTGATGGATCTGTTCAACTTTTCCACATCAGTCTGTGTTAATTTAGGTAAGTTAGAAATCCGTCCATTTCTTCCAGATTTTCAGATTTGTTGGAGTACAGTTCTTCAGAGTACCCTGATATTATCCTTTTTATTTTATGGTTCTGTTGTAATGTCACCCATTTCTTTCTTATTTGAGTTATTTGTATTCTCTCTCTCTCTCTTTTCCTTTGTTAAATTTGCCAGTGATTTGTCAATTTTATTGATCTTTTCAAAAAACCCACTCCTGGTCTTATTGATTTTTTCTATTGCCCTTCCATTTTCTGTTTCATTGATTTCTGCTTGAATCTTGATTATTTCCTTTCTTCTGGTGACTGTAGTCTTTTCTTGGTGTTCTTTTTCTAATTGTTGGAGATGTTGATTTAAAGTGTTCATTTTGGCTCTGTCTTCTTTTTTGATGTATGCATTTATTGCTATAAATTGTCCTCTGATCACTCCTTTGCTGTGTCCCAAAGATTTGGGTATATTGTGTTTTCATTATCATTTGATTCAAGGAATTTTT